AAAAAAGTAAAAAAAGTAAAAATTTTAAACTGTAAAGGTTCAGTTTAAATTTTGGACTCTGCTTTTATGGTGAAGTATAGTCAAGTGCCTTTGCTTAACCATGAAAAAATAAGTTCAAAAAGTAAGCATAGACTGTACCTTTCCAGGAACACTTTTTATCCACTTGAGAAAAAACAAAGCTGCACAGTGCTGAACCTCTTAAATACAAGCATTTGCTTTTGAACAGCAGATGTGATTACAAGTGAGTCTCATCTGTTCATTAGCAGACCATTCAGAAGTTCAGTGTCCCTTGTAATCTTTTCCCATTTGGAAGTCAATATGGATGCATTTCTTTTTTTTTGTTTGTTTTGAGACAGAGTCTTACTCTGTTGCCCAGGCTGGAGTGCAGTGGTGCAATCTCAGCTCACTGCAACCTCCGCCTCCCAGGTTCAAGCAATTCTCCTCCCTCAGCTTCCCAAGTAGCTGGGATTACAGGCACGTGCCACCACACCCAGCTAATTTTTTGTATTTTTAGTAGAGACTGATTTTCACCATGTTGGCCAAGCTAGTCTCCACCTCCCGACCTTAGATGATCTGCCTGCCTCAGCCTCCCAAAATGTGGAGGTTACAGGTGTGAGCCACTGCAGCCGGCCTGGATGCATTTCTTTGTATTTATTGAGTAATAGGGAGGCCCTTCCCCTAATAATCCCAGAATGTTATGTTTTTAGTAGATTTCCTTCTACATTTATTTTTAATTATAGTCAATATTTACATTATGAATAAAGTTTTGCTATTAAGTTATGTAAAACGTGTTTTGTGTGTATTCTACTTTCTCTACAGTTTTTGGCTGAAGATTATACACTAGTAGATGTTCTCTACTATGTTACACGTGATGACTTAAAATGCCTGAGACTAAGGTACCACTTTTCTTTCTCTTGTCACAAAGGAAAGAGCACCAGGCTAAGATCAAGAAAAAGGAGTACCTACCTAGGCTGGGTCTCTAATTAGCTTTGCAGTTCTGGATAGAGCTCACTAGCTCTTAGCTGCTCTGAGTAAATTGAGTTAGTTGGACCATACTATTTTTGAGGGCTCTAATAACCAATATTTCTGTATTAGTAAGTGAAAAATCAACTGGAAGGTTTTTTTTTAATAATATGCAGACTAAGTTCATGCAGATATTGTAAAGCTGCCTTAAACAAATGCTTTTATTTAGTTCATGATAGTGTTATACTTAATAAATATTTTGAGGAAGTGCTGATTTGCCCTCCAAAAACCTGGTATAATCTGATATAATTTCTTATGAATTAAGGCCAACCATATAACGATTATACCCACTATTATAAAGACAAATTTCAAAAATGTTGAAAATCTAAAGTGATGGTTTGGGACATAGCACTTTGTGGGAGTGAAAAGGGAAGGAAGGAATGGAGGGATGATGAGAAAATATATACAAAAAGAATACATAATGACTGATCAGACTTTGGGATCTTCATGTTCTGACCAGAACAGATGAAAGCTAAGAAGTCACTTTTCTGTTTCAAGGGCAATGTTTCCAATGAAATGTTCTCTTCACCATGTTCTTGTTTCTTTCAACAGGGGCGGGATGCTGTGCACACTGTGGAAAGCCATCATTGATTTTCGAAACAAACAGACTTGACTGTTGCTCAATTTAATCTTCAGTGGAAATTCTCAAAATTAATACAGAGCTGATCTTCTTGGGGGTGGGAAAATCAAAGGGAGAGGAGAAAGGAGCTGCACTTTACATCCAGTATTTGTTTACTCATGTTAAAAAAAAAAAAAAAAACAGACAAAACACACTGAAATTTCCTAACTACTTCTATTTCTATAATTTTTAAGGACTCTTCATAAGGACTCTCAAAATAATCCTGAACATTAGAACACTAATGTTCAGGAAGATTTTAATCTCAGCATTTTTATGGAAATATTTTTAATGCAGCAGCTATTGCACTTCAGCCAAATGTTTATTTCACACAAAACAGATATAACATTTCATGTGATTGTGCACCACTGGAACAAAACCAAAATGTGACCATAAATTTCTAGGCTTCTGTGTGTAAGATACTCTAACAATCTGAGTAGCAATGCATAATTTCAATTACTGTATAAAGTTTATGTTTTTTTAAGTGTGCAGAATCTGAGATCAATGGTTTTTACGTATCTGTGTTGGTTGTAATATTGACTATTTTGTAAGTTAAGTTTCTGACCTATAGTACATTTGTTTGAGTCGTTTATGTACTACTGAACTGTACCAGTTGCACATGCCTGAACTGTAGTAATGTTAGCTTGTTCTAAAGCTATCCATTGTGTCATATTCACTCTGAAAATTAAAAAGACGCTCAACATACTGTTTTGATAACTTCTAAAGAATTCTTATTTTGTGTTGACAAGCTAGATACTCTGCTGTGTTAAATTTCCAGTCATTTCTCCAGCTGTAACATGAAGTAGAATCTGTCTTCTGTTCAAACAGTCAGACAGCTAACATCCAGGTTGTTCCTCAGGGGAACAGAGGTTAAGAATGACGGTAAGCCTGGGCAACAAAGTGAGACCCCATCTCTACAAAAACCCCAAAAAATCTGCTAGGTGTGGTGGCGCACATCTGTGGTCCTAGCTATACGGGAGGCTGAGGCAGGAGGATCACGTGAGCCCAGGAGGTCGAGGCTGCAGTGAGCCATGATGTGCCATTGCACTCCAGCCTGGGAAACAGAGTGAGACCTTGTCTCAGAAAAAAGAAAGAGGATGAAGAAAAAAAAAAGAATAAAGGAACGTTAGTATATTTTTCTCAATGCCCCAGGTTATCTTGGATGACTATTGTATATCTTAAGGGTTCTGCAGAGACCATCTTAATGGAGAATACTGCATTTTTTGTTGGTTGTTTTTTGTTTTGTTTTTGTTTTTTGTTTTTTTTTTGAGACAGAGTCTCGCTCTATTGCTCAGGTTGGAGTGCAGTGGTGCAATCTCAGCTCACTGCAACCTCCACCTACTGGGTTCAAGTGATTCTCATACCTCAACCTCCTAAGTAGCTGGGATTATAGACGTGCCCCACTACACCCATCTAATTTGTATTTGTAGTAGAGATGAGGTTTTGCCATGTTGACCAGGCTGCTCTTGAATTCTTGGCCTCAAGTGGTCTGCCCACCTTGGCCTCCCAAAGTGCTGGGATTACAGGTGTGAGCCACTGTGCCTGGCCAATAATACTGCATTTTTCTATCTCCTTAATTTTCTCATATTTGGATATTTTTATTTATTTTAAGCTGAATAGTATATTATTATGAGCCTGCCCATATTAATCAGAGGAAGTCTAATGCTCCTAGAGAGATAAATGAAATACATTTTCTTAAATACAAAGGAAACTATTTATTAGGAAGGACAGAAATAATATAGAGCTGTTTACATATCATGATTTCACTCATATATGAGTCTTAAAGCAAAAGTCATCTTTATTTTGATGTGAAAATCAAGGTACAGTATATTTTATATTGCATTGGAGTATTCAAAACATTGTCACTAATGTTTTCTGATTGGTTGAGACAGGGTCTCACTCTGTTGCCTAGACTGGAATGCAGTGGTATGATCTCAGCTCACTGCATCCTTGCCCCCCTGGGCTCAAGCAGTCCTCCCACATCAGCCTACAGAGTAGCTGGGACTACGGGGGCACACCACTACACCCAGCTAATTTTTAAATTTTTAGTAGAGGTGGGATCTTAGTATGTTATCCAGGCTAGTCTTGAATTCCTGGCTTCAAATGATCCTCCTGCCTTGGCCTCCCAAAATGCTGGGATTATAGGTGTGAGGCACTGCTTCTGGCCTCTTTTTTAACATCCTAATTTGGAGGACAGAGTTGCCTCTTGTATCCTGTGTGGATATTCTGAAAGAAGTGAGGTGTAAATTCAGTGATGTCATTTGGCTCATACTGAAACACAGAGAATGATCTTTATTAAGCCACAGTTCACCTTCCCAGTTCTAATGGTGAAGTGTTTCTTTTGACTGTATGTAGGATCAAGCTACCCATCTTAAATCTTCAATGATACACTCTTTCCTTCGTGCCTTCCTCTTACCCTGTCTTTGTGAGCAGATGAGACTCTGTCCCCCTACATGGTTCATAACACATTCCCAGGCCAACACCATTAGCCATGTGTCAGAATTCTGGGTCTCAGACACAGAAGAAGACGGTTCCGTTATGGAAGGCTCCGTTATGGAAAGGTTTGCATTTGAAACACTTTTAGGATCAATCTACACCATTGATTTTTAACTCAGCTTCACATTAAAATGACTTAGATGCTTTTCAAAACTATTGATGCCACCACCTTGGAAAAACTGGGTTTTTGTTGTTTGTTTTTTCTTGAGACAGAGTCTCACTCTGTCACCCAGACTACGGTGCAGTGGTACTGTCATAGCTCACTGCATCCTTGACCTCCTGGGCCCAAGTAGTCCTCCAGCCTCAGCATCCCAAGTAGCTGGGACTACAGGTGTGTGCCACCATGCCTTGCTATTTTTATTTTTTGTAGAAACAAGGTCTCACTATGTTGCTCACTCTGGTCTCAAACTTTTAGGCTCAAGTGATCCTCTTGCCTCGGCATCCCAAAATGCTGGGATTACAGGCATGAGCCACTGTGTCCAGTCGGAAAACTGTTTTTACTGGTCTGGGGTGGGGCCCAGATGCCCTTTTCAAAAATTAGTTTCACAGGTGATTTCACATGATCAAGCCTCACCTCCTTCTTTCAGGTGACAGCTAGAGAGGGAAATGGAGAGCCCCTTTCCGTAGAAGGAATAGCAAGATGGTTAACATTCATCATTTGTTTATGTAGCAGGAGGCTACACACATAGGCCTGAAGCAAAACTGTAACTTAATTTGTGACCTGGGACAAATTAATTAGCTTCTCCAAGTCAGTTTCCTCATCAGTGAAATGGAGGAAATGATGTACCTTCATATAGGGCTGTTACAAGATGCAAATAAGAAAATGCAGGCCAGGCGCAATGGCTCACGCCTGTAATCCCAGCACTTTGGGAGGCCAAGGTGGGTGAGTCACTTGAGGCCAGGAGTTCAAGGTCAGCCTGGCCAACATGGTGAAACCCCATCTCTACTAAAATTACAAAACTAGCCAGGTGTGGTGATGCACGCCTGTAATCCGAGCTACTCAGGAGGCTGAGGCACGAGAATTACTTGAACCCTGGAGGCAAAGGTTGCAGTGAGCCAAGATCATGCCACTGCACTCCAGCCTGGATGACAGAGCAAGACGCTGTCTCAAAAGAGAAAAGACAATGCAGGCGAGGTGGTCAGTACAATGCTTAGCATATAACACACACTGAGATATGCTTGGTATTGTCATCACTTACCCTTCATTCAAAAGAATGTATTAAATATCGGGTACTACATATTGTGATGCACCAACAAGATACGGTTCTTTCCCCTGAAGTTTCTTGTCAAGGAATCAAGACAAAGCAGAAACAACAGTGGCGCAGTCAGCGCTATAGTTACATTTATTGTCAGAAGGGGTCAAGGAAAGCTTTCCAGAGGAGGAAAGGTGCAGAGCTGGGCCTGCAAAGATGGTTTGGAACAGAACAGTTATGCAGGGGTGGTGGCAGAAGTGTTATAAGAGAGACAAAACAGGAATTTGCTGGGAGAAGTAGATCTAATGTTCCCTTTCAACTGCATTTTGATCTCTTTCTCCAAATTACATCATTGGATACTTGGTTTCATTTATCCCTAGGCCACTACATTAAAAAGTTGGGCATCGAGGAATTATTATTAACCCATATGAATGCCCACTGTATATGAGACATGGTAGCAATGAGAAGACATATATACCATGCCTACCAAGTTCAGAATACAGGCAGTGCACATCATGTCATCAAGAACATCTGCAACTTGTGAGCAAATAAAATAACTGATAGTTCTAGACTTTAGGAACACCCTGTAGAGAAGTAGAGGACAAAGTCCCTACTACCAAAAATGTGCATCAGATTCAGGGGGCAAATTTGCAATAAATCATATTTTAACAGCTGGACAAGTAGCAAGCCCAGCAAGCCCTGGCAAGGTCCAAAGGACAGGCATGCTGGGAGCCGGGGCAGGAGGAACAGGCTTCATGGAGGAAGTAGACCTTAACCTGGGCCTTGGAGGGAAAGTATCGTTAAATATGTCGGGATTAGGGAAGGGGCAGAGCGGCTTCAAGAACAAAGGCTAGAAAGCAGGGATTTGAAAGGTGTTCTGGAGAATTAACAACTCCATTGGCTAGAAATATGAGTTACAGAGGTGAAAAGTGGAAATGGGTAGTAGAGAGCTCAGGGCCCAATTAGGGGGTGGTGGTGGCGATGGTGGAGAGGTAGAGTTAGTATTTAATCATGTAGGAACGGGTAATCTCTTAAAGGTTTTTCAGCAAGGGAGAGGTGTGTGGAAAGTGGCTGTATATTGCAAGATTAATCTGGTTTGGAACATATTGAATTAACAGCAGGGTATCTTGATGGAATTGTGCAGAAACCATTCGGAATGTATTAGTGGAAGTCAGGAGTGAGGTTAAGGGTATATGTTCTGGATTTGAGAGTCACTGGGATCCAGGATGAAATAGTAAATGAGGGCTGTAAGAGTAAAGATAGAAAGGCTGTGCTTACAATTTGAGGATGGTAAAAATATCGGGGGGGGTTAAAAAGGAGGAAGAATCTGAGTCAACAAAGACGAAAGGTCTGCTACAGAAGAATGAGAAAAAGCCAATGGTAGACCAGGAGCAGGGTGATTAGAGGATCCAGTGCTGAAGAAGCTCTAGGGGCAGAAAGTCCAGGGGAACGATGGATTTAAAAATACATAATTTGATTTGTATATATAGGCAAGAAAAAATATATAGCTTTTTTTGAAAAATAACGGCACCAAAATCCACATTTCTTTTCATTACCTTTGATGAACAAAAAATACAGCAACAGATTCAGGAGGGTGGGAAGTTAAAGGAAGACATTTTCAGAATCAAAGAGTTTTGAATGTGTTTATTGGGGTAGAGCCCCTGGGTACAGAAACATTTAGGGATTAGGGAGAAAAAGGGGATGATGTTTTGAAGGAGGCAGGAAGGGAGTAAATGGTGTCAGAAGGTTCAGCTCCTCCCCTGGAATGGGGAACCCTTAAGATTTGGAAAGATTCTGAGATGGATGTGGGAGCTCCAGACAGCTGGCTTCCATGTTCCAAGTAAAGTACAACTTGAGGTACAATGGGATGGTGTTTGACATTTAACAGATGTCATCCATTCTCTGCAGAGTCACTCAGCAGCAGCCTGCCCTGTTGTAGACACCTGCTTAGGTTTAGAACACACTGTCTATACAGGGCCAACGTGCAGGATTTTGGTGTGTTTCTTATTTCATTTATTTTTGTTTAAC